TCGTGGTCTCTGTGCTTCACACCAATGGGATCTAGTGCGCCTGCGCAGGCGCACTAGATCCCATTGGTGTGAATGCACAGATGACCACTCGAAGATCACCAGTTACTGGTAAGCAACCTGTTTTTCTATCCCTATAGGGGATACCCCTATATCTGCCTGAAACAACAGCCAAAGGAAAGAGATTAAATCTCGTTAGCATAAAAACCCGCCGATAAAGTGGAATTGTTAGATTAGAGATGCACAAAGCCATAGAGGCCTCTAACATTCTATGATTTGTGAGGGAGGCGATCTTGGAATGTGTCGATAAGAGAATCCCAGTGCTTCTGGGTAAACTGTGAGAACCTGAGAGCATGCGAGCCTCAATTCAAGAACGTGGGCCAGTATCAAACAAGCAGGAGGGTGCGCGGGGTATGTTCATGCATCTTGATCAACTGTGGTTTGTTTAAATGGTGCTGTGGACATCAGTGTCTAATAGACACCGGTCTGTTAGACGTAAGGAGCAAGTTCTGGTCTGTTCATAAACCCGACTCGTTTGCCTCTTGCTTTCCCACATCCTAGCAGGAAGGGTGACTTCCCTTTGGTGCCAGTTCTGCGACCCGGTGGTCAGGAAGGGCACTGGAGTTTGATCAAACCACAGTTTGTAAGCCGCTGTTGTAGCATACATAGTCTGGACGTAAAGCTAGATTCCAGTCCAGTAGCACCCTAGAGAACAAGATGGGGGGGAGGGGCATGAGCCGTAGGGTTTACCAGGCACGAGACGTTCAGAGGTGGTTTGCCATTGCCTGCCTCCATGTCATGATGACCCTGGCATTCCTTAGAGGTCTCCCGTGCGAGTACTAGCCAGGGCTGACTCTGATAAGACTGGGCTAGCCTGGGCTGTCCAGGTCACGGCCTCAAAAGCCCCCCCCCAAAAAAAAATCTTGTGCACCTCTAAGGTGTGACTCAAATCTACCTGTGCTTCTGCAGACCAAGACAGCCACCCTCTGAAACAATCTGGACAAACGGCAGGGCTATTTTTGGGCAGGAACGCACAGGAATGGAGTTCCGGCTGGCTCCCAAGTTGACCACGCCCAGCAGGAACTCATTAGCATAATAGGCCACACCCAATAGCAGAAACCCATTAGGATTGGCTACATTAGGGGTGTGTGGCCTAACATGCAAAGGGGCTCCTGCTACCAAAAAAGCCCCCTGGGTTTTGACAACAAACAAGGTAAACAGAATAAGAAGCAAAAGGTAGGTGTGGCTGGATGACCACACTTCTGGTAATGTGGGGGTGTGGCCTAATATGCTAATGAGCTATGCTCTCATGGGTGTGGCTGGATATGCTAATAAGTTTCTGTTGTTGGGTGTGGCGTATTATGCTAATGAGTTCCTGCTGGGCTTTTTCTACAAAAAAAGCCCTGACAAACGGTATCAACTGATGCTGGTTGAATATTCGTTTAACTCGTATCACTTTGCCCAAAGAATTCGGGGGATTATGCTGAGAATTCTCCGTTAGAGATCCATGGCCCTGCTCACAGAACTACAGTTCCCAAGACCCTCTGGGGAGAGGAATGGCAAATCAGTTTTGAACAGGGTCTAGGCACATCCTTCTGCCCTAAGAAAATGACGTCGTCGTATCCCTCAAGCCATGCCCAGGAGATGCACTCCTCAGCTGCTCTGATATAAATACGAAGCGCTTGTTGCACGGGGAAGAAATTGTCCGAAACTGTGACCAGATGACCGGTAGGCAACTCTTCCTGAATGTAAAATCTGCTGTCTCTTAGTTTCACTGCCGTTAAAAGGCTTTTAAATATATATATATATAGCTAAAAAGAGCTGTATGCTCTTATCCCACCTGTACAGTGTAAAAACAACAATCAGCCACCACTGATCAATCCATGAGTGAGGGCTTTAAAAGACTCTCGGAATGAGGTGGACGGAGTCTTTTGGTATTGTTTCTTGAACTCGGTGGGTCAGAACTAAGTGAACGTCATTACCATTTGGCAGCTATTTGGCCCGTACAGGAGCAGCTGGCGCCCTCCCAACTCTTTGTAGACGGTCAGATGTCTGTCTGTGTCGCACACGCTTCATCTCCATTATTTGCACCCTCAGTTGCCTCTGCAAAGAGATTAGAGCCGGCAATGACACATTCTCTTTGGCTCTAGGAGCCAGACTCATTTTTCAGCCTTCCAAGTTCTGTATTTGAATGACCAGTTTTTCTAATTATTGCTGCCCCAAAACTTCATACTACCCCCTTTACAGTCTCTCATAATGTTCTGAAAGCTGGTCACAAAAGTATTGTGACATATAAGTACAGGGGTGACTGGTTGTGATCAACACAGCAAAAAGCTATCCTCTAATGCAGGGGTGTCGAACTCATTGGTTATGAGGGCCGGATCGGACCTAAATGAGCCGGGCCACGTGTTTCATAAAATGTAATGCCAGGTAGCGGAGATATATACTTTATAAAGGGCACAAAGGGGTTTTTTAAAACTTAAAATAAAAACATGCTTAAAACGTTAGCTCTGCAAGCTGCAAACCTACTTTTGATTTATTGACATTCACCACAGAAATCTCACGCTCAGGGTTCTGAGTCTAGGACCCAGGTTAAAACACGAAATGGCTGAGTGATTAAGAGAGTGGTGAAGCAAGCTGTGATGCAGCAGCAGCAGCAGAACTGGAAGCAGAAGACGGCCATTTTCACTGTGGGCCTGATGGAAGCCCTCCGGGGGGGCCTGATCCAGCCCCCGGGCCGCATGTTTGACACCCCTGCTCTAACCCTTTCCTAATCTGCACCAGTTTGTTCCAATTTCACATAAAACCATTATTGCTTTTAAAAAGCTCCATTTAATTGTATATTGGATCCAGTCTAGAAAGCCTTGGGTTAAGGGATTCATCACCAGCAGTGAAAGGTATTAAGTTTATGTATAAACAAGCCATGACAAGAACTTCATATACATTTGTTTTTATGTCATACAGCAAAACATTTCTGATGCGAAATGATAAATAAGCTTTGGGTTGGATCCAGCTAGTTTCCCCCCCCCCTTAATCTTGTTCAGTTCCCCATCTTATCAAAGCTCCTGGTTTACCTGGCTTTGGTCCACGGGGGCCCCGTGATCCCAAACACGGACTTCTTTGGTGGTCACAGGGGGGACTCTTCCCTGTTTCCCCCCGCCACCAGTGGAAAAGCTGGTTAGATCCAAACCTTTGTACTTCTACAGAGAATCGCTGTGTTCCAATAAAGCCATTGCTGAAACTATTAGACAGCCCAGTGGTATTTCTGGGATTTGTCAGGCCTTGGACTAGAGGCAGATAGTCCCTTATCCTGTCCATAGAACATATTTACAGCAGGTTTTGGAAGCCTTTGCAAAGGTTCTTTAATCTATTGATTGGAGAACTTTCTTGGTCATTCGGGTAACTTCGGCAAGCTTCATGGTTTCCCCTTGATGTTAAAATCTGTGTGTGTGTGTCATCTGTTGACTTTAGATTTGGATCAAAGATACCGGATAAAGCACTGCTTTGGAGTCTGAGCTCTGCAGAATTTGGCCCTGTGTTTTTATTATGCTACCGAGAACCTTGGGGAGGGGGGTTAACCTGGAATCCAGCCAAGCTATAAAGCACTTTCTTTCTAAATTATAAATAATTTAGCAAGCACTGAAGATAACTTTTTTTTTATTCAGCATTTTTCATGTATGTCTCTCATTTTAGCCTCAACGAAATGATGAGTTGATTGGCATTTATTTTTTTGTTTTTACTATATAGATGTAGAGGTTATTAATTTCTTCGTTGACATGCAACAAAGCAAATGACTTGGAAGATTGTGTCCGTGCTCAAGGAGGCGGTGGAGGTTGAGCATGGGACCTGCCTTGTCAAAGTCTTCTCCGACACTTGTTTGCAAGCAGATTTGCATAGAATGCCACATTCCTAAGACTTGGGTTTGAGATGACCTAGCACAGTGGTGGTGAACCTATGGCACGGGTGCCAGAGGTGGCACTCAGAGCCCTCTCTGTGGGCACGCGTGCCATCGCCCCAGCCAGGCCCAGGCCATCATTAAAGTGTCGAATTCTCTGCCAAATAATTTTAAGTAAATGAAAGCATTTGGGATTGCTTTCCTTACTTTGTTTGGATCATCTTAAGTTAATGTATGAGTTGTTTTTTCTAAAGTAAAACCTCAGTATTCAGGTTAAATTGCCGTGTTGGCACTTTGCGATAAATAAGTGGGTTTTGGGTCGCAGTTTGGGCACTCGGTCTCTAAAAGGTTCGCCATCACTGACCTAGCATGCGATTTGTTTTGGGAATTGATCACTTCTGCTCAAAGTGTCATTCCGGTCACTTTGCTTAACAATACTTGCTTTTGCTTAGAATTTCCTGAAATCCTAGTATATAGTGGAAGGATGTTCCGGTTGTCAAGGTCCTCAATGCTTAGTTGTATTGCAGACTCCCAGCTCTTTGCCTGTCATAGAATTGGATTGGGCCTCCTTTCTGTGTGCCCAGACAGTAGTCATTTCCTCATTCTCATGTTGGGGATCGCAAGTAGTTTTGTGCTTCTGCAGTAGTTGTACACATCCTGCAAGTTACCCCCAAAATATTTTGAAAAGAGTCATGATTCTGTGATGTTATAAATGAATTGATTTTGCAAATCAGGCCTGCAAGTAGTGGCCTGCTTATTCCAAAGGGCTTACCTTGTTTTATTCCAAAATTTTACTCTCCTTGATTACCCCAGCATTGGGCTCTCAGAGCAGATTTCAGTAAATAGTTCAACAAAACGCTATACATTACTGGAATAAAAACAACATGTTTTTATAACAAAACTAACAGTTGAATGTAACTTTGGAAGAATGGATTGTAGGCTAAATTTGTTACTGCCATGGTTTGCTTTGTGAAGGCTCCAAAGTTAAACATTTGGAAGCATACTGATGAAAATATTTTTCTCTCTCCAAGGAGGGATTTTCCAGGTTTTGTAAGTAAACAAACAGTGGTATGTTGTTTTTGAATTCCCTATCCTCCTCTTTCCACAGAAACAATGAGACGAGTGGTACGACAGAGCAAGTTTCGGCACGTGTTTGGGCAGGCGGTGAAAAACGACCAGTGCTACGATGACATTAGAGTTTCCCGTGTTACCTGGGATAGTTCATTTTGTGCTGTTAATACCAAATTTGTTGCAATAATAATAGAGGCTAGTGGCGGCGGCGCATTCCTGGTTCTACCTTTACATAAGGTAAGTTGTTAACTCTATCCTACATCTTCATCCTGCACATCTATTACATAAGAACATAAGAGAAGCCAATGCTGGATCAGGCCAATGGCCCATCTAGTCCAACACTCTGTGTCACACAGTGGCCAAAAATACCAGGGGCCCTCAGGAGGTCCAGCAGTGGGGCCAGGACACTAGAAGCCCTCCCACTGTCACCGCCCCCCCAAGCACCAAGAATACAGTGCATCACTTGCCCCAGCCTGTGAGTTCCTATCTATACCTTATGGCTAATTACAGTGTGGTTTGTTTTCTTTAGAATTAAAACAAACAAAAAACTCAGCAACTGGAAAAGCCTGGGTTGTATTTGCTTAGTTGAATTGAATTCTGTTGCTGTTGGTGTTATGTTCATTAGATTGTCTATTATATTGTTCATTAGAGAGCCAGTTTGGTGTAGTGGTTAAGTGTGCGGACTCTAATCTGGGAGAACCGGGTTTGATTCCCCACTCCTCCACTTGCACCTGCTGATGTGACCTTGGGTCAGTCACAATCTCTGGCACAGCTGTCCTTGAAAAAGAGCAGTTTGTGTCAGAGTTCTCTCAGCCCCACCCACCTCCCAGGGTGTCTGTTGTGGGGAGGGGAAGGGAAAGGAGTTTGTAAGCCGCTCTGAGACTCCAAGTGAAGAGCGGGGTATAAATCCAATCTCTTCTTCTTCTCTTCTCTTCTGATTTCATTATGGTTGCAGGCAGGAGGAAAAGAATAAGCCCCTTGTTACTGTAGAGATGGAGACCCCTTCGTTTTGTAGGCCAGTGGTTCCCATCCTTTGCGCATCAGATATGAAATTGCAAATGTATTCTTAAATTTATTCTTTAGCCTTCACTGGGAAATTTGAGAATCTGTGGGACATGGATATTTCCAAATGTGCCTGGTTAAAAAGCCCTGCTTGACTATATCCAGCTTCTGTTTGATCTGCATGTTTTCTGTATGTGGTCAGAATTCAGAATGTGCACTGAAAGCTAATCATCATTGATTTTGTAGGACAACAGGAGATAAAAGGTACAGACTTACTCTAGATTCGAGGCCCTTCATCAGTTAGGGAACTTTGACTCGTGAAAGCTTAAATCCGGAAATTCTTGTTGCTCTCTAAGGTGATGTTGCACTCAACACCAACATGGCTGCCATCAGAAACCGACTTCCACTAGTTACTACAGGAGATAGTGGTTCTATGTCAGTTGTATTGGTAGAAAAAGTTCAGCACTCTTTTCCCCGTCATTTTTATTCTTAGCGCCATAGATACATTGGCTGTGCTTTGTCTCTGTTGGCCTGATATTCCATCCTGTTATTTGTACAATGCAACAAGTGTACACAGTATTTTAGAGAGTGGTCAGGTCTCTGCCCCCAAGGAGAGTACAGTCTAAAATATCCAACAAAGAAGGCTATTGAATTTAGGGTGGGGAGAAGGAGAGCCTTGCTGGTATGGAGAATAACCATATACCACAGGCTAAAATTGCAGGTGGATTTCTCCGTGGGAGCCTGTCGCCTTCTCCACTTTGTGTTCCCTGATACCTAGCCTTCCGCTTTTGGGGGGGGGGCACACACAAACAAACAAGCAGGGGCTGTGGCATTGAACGTTTGTGGATATGTGAAACTGCTGTATACTGAGTCAGATCCTGATTTGTCTAGTTCAGTAAGAACATAAGAGAAGCCAATGTTGGGTCAGGCCAGTGGCCCATCCAGTCCAACACTCTGTCACACAGTGGCCAGAAATACCAGGTGCCCTCAGGAGGTCCAGCAGTGGGGCCAGGACACTAGAAGCCCTCCCACTGTTGCCCCCCTCCCCCCGGCACCAAGAATACAGAGCATCACTTGCCCCAGACCGAGAGTTCCTATCTAGTGGCTAATAGCCACTGATGGACCTCTGCTCCATATAAGAACATAAGAGAAGCCAATGTTGGATCAGGCCAATGGCCCATCCAGTCCAACACTCTGTGTCTATACCTTGTGACTAATAGCCACTGATGGACCTCTGCTCATCCATATGTTCATCTAATTCCCTCATGAAGCCGTCCATTCTTGTAGCCGCCATCACCTCCTCTGGCAGTGAATTCCATGTGTTCATCACTCTTTGGGTGAAGAAGGACTTCCTTTTCTCTGTTCTAACCCGACTGCTCAGCAATTTCATGGAGTGCCCACGAGTTCTTGTATTGTGAGAAAGGGAGAAAAGTACCTCTTTCTCTACCTGCTCCATCCCATGCATAATCTTGTAAACCTCGATCATGTCACCCATCAGCCGTTGTTTATCCAAGCTGAAGAGCCCCAAGCGCTTCAACCTTTCTTCATAGGGAAAGTGTTCCAACCCTTTTATCATTCTTTTCTGCATTTTTCCCAATGCTATAATATCCTTTTTGAGGTGTGCTGAACAGAACTGTATACAGTACTCCACAGTACTCTTCTTCTTCTTCTTTGAACATTTCTGGATATGTGAAGCTGCCGTATACTGAGTCAGATCTTGATTTGTCTAGTTCAGTATTGTCTATTGGGAGTGATAGTGGCCAGTTTGGTGTAGTGGTTAAGTGTGCAGACTCTAATCTGGGAGAACCGGGTTTGATTCCCCACTCCTCCACTTGCACCTGCTGATGTGACCTTGGGTCAGTCACAAGCTCTGGCACAGCTGTCCTTGAAAAAGAGCAGTTTGTGTCAGAGTTCTCTCAGCCCCACCCACCTCACGGGGTGTCTGTTGTGGGGAGGGGAAGGGAAAGGAGTTTGTAAGCCGCTCTGAGACTCCAAGTGAAGGGCGGGGTATAAATCCAATCTCCTCCTCTTCCTCTTTTTCCTCCTCCTCCTTTTCCTCCTCTTCCTCCTCTTCTTCTTCTTTCCCGGGTCGCAGGTGGAGAAGCATCTTCCCCAATACTTGACATTCTTTAATTATTTGACATTCTTTAATCCTCCTCCTCCTCCTCCTCTTCTTCTTCCTCTTCCTCTTCTTCCTCTTCTTCTTTTTCCCCGGGTCTCAGGCGGAGAAGCATCTTCCCCAATACTTGACATTCTTTAATTATTTGAGGCGCCAGGGATCTTCCTTGAGACCTTTTGTGTGCAGAACAGAAGGGAACCCAACCACAAAAACAGCAGCATGGCCAACAAGGGCCCTTGTTAAGAAGAACCACATTGAGCATCCGATAGAATGTTGGCGAGGATGAGGCCGGGGGAATGTGCAATTAATGATTCCAGCATGAGGCCACTGCCCAAAAATGTCAAAATTCCGAGCCACTGCTGTCGTAATGAGGGTCTGAAGCAATTTTGCAAGCCCCAGATTGGAGAGAACCTGGTTTGAATCTTACGAGCTGCCTTCAGACCTTCGGCTCCCGATTGGACCGGCCATTTTTCTGTCTTCCTGTGACTGCTGTTGGTGGGAAGTGCGGCCGACTTACGGCGACCCTGCAGGGTTTTCAAGGCAAGAGATGTTCAGAGGCGGGTTGCCATCGCTTGGCTCTGCGTAGTGACCCTGGACTGCCTTGGGGGGTCTCCCCTCCACATACTAACCAGGGCTGACCCTGCTTAGCTTCTGAGATTGAATCCTAGAATCACAGAGTTGGAAGGGGTCCTACAGGCCATCTAGTCCAGCCCCCGGCTCAATGCAGGGTCAGTCTAGAGCAGTGGTTCTCAACCTTCCTAATGCCGTGACCCTTTAATACAGTTCCTCATGTTGTGGTGACCCCCAGGGCTCTTTTTGTAGCAGGAGCTCCTTTGCATATTAGGTGACACGCCCCCTAATGTAGCCAATCCTCCAAGAGCTTACAGAGCTCTTCTTACAGGGGCTACTGTAAGCTCTTGGAGAATTGGCTACATCAGGGGTGTGTGGCCTAATATGCAAAAAGAGCCCTGGACTGACCCCCAGCCATAAAATTATTTTCGTTGCTACTTCATAACTGTAATTTTGCTACTGTTGTGAATTGTAATGTAAATGTCTGATATGCAGGATGTATTTTCATTGTTACACATTGAACATAATTAAAGCACAGTGAGCCCTGTCCTAAGACCATCGAAAATTTGTGTTTTCCGATGGTCTTAGGCGACCCCTGTGAAAGGGTCGTTCGACCCCCAAAGGGGTCGCTACCCTCAGGTTGAGAACCGCTGGTCTAGAGTATCCCTGAACAAGTGTTTCCAGACGCTGCTTAAAGACGGCCAGTGAGGGGGAGTTCTCCATTTCCCTTGGCAGCTGATTCCACTGTTGTACAATTCTGACTGCAAAAATGTTTCTCCTAATAGCCAGCCAGTACCTTCCCGCCCATAATTTAAACCCATTATCTGACAAGATTGAGCTGGCCTGGGCCATCCAGGTCAGAACCTTCTAGAAGAAGAAGAAGAGATTGGATTTATACCCCACCCTTCACTACCCAAAGGAGTCTCAGAGCGGCTTACAAACTCCTTTCCCTTCCCCTCCCCACAACAGACACTCTGTGAGGTAGGTGGGGCTAAGAGAGCTCTTGACAGAAACTGCTCTTTTTTCAAGAACAGCTCTTATCAGAACTATGGCTTGCCCAAGGTCATCCAGCAGCTGCAAGTGGAGTCGTGGGGAATCAAACCCGGTTCTCCCAGATTAGAGTCCGCGCACTTAACCACTACACCAAACTCTTGAAAAAGAGGAGATTGGATTTATACCCCGCTTTTCACTACCCAAAGGAGTCTCAGAGCGGCTTACAAACTCCTTTCCCTTCCCCTCCCCACAACAGACACCCTGTGAGGTAGGTGGGGCTGAGAGAGCTCTTGACAGAAACTGCTCTTTTTTCAAGAACAGCTGTTATCAGAACTATGGCTTGCCCAAGGTCATCCAGCAGGTGCAAGGGGAGGAGTGGGGAATCAAACCCGGTTCTCCCAGATTAGAGTCCGCGCACTTAACCACCACACCACACTGGCTCGTTCAGTCACGGTGTCTCATGTTGACGCCCCAGTCGTCTTTGCCAGGACTCTCCCCTTGCTTCAGTGGGCTGCTGCCACCTCCAGCAGATGCAGTGCATTTCAGGGGTTTT